ACAAGTTGAAGGTCCAAAATCCTGCACCACCTCCTCAGAGGGGTCGCGCCAACATTGAATGAGGGGGCACGGGGGTTGCTATGCGACCCTTCCAGGGTAAAGTGGTGAGGTGGTGCAGGATTTTGTCCATCAACAGTATGAGCGTATGATCGGTTCGAGAAGATCCTTTGTGGAAGCATGTATCCAAGCAACCACCGTGCGATTCAGGTGCTAATCAAACTAGCCAGTATTGGCTAGCGGCTATCACTGGTTCCTTTGAGCTGTGAATAGGGAAAACACCCAATAAACAAAGACAAGAACGTCAACGTGCCATCAAAACAATCACAAAGGCGGGCGATTCACGAGAAAAAGTAAATAACCATCGTGCAACTGCTCAATAGAATTGTTTCCCAAATACAAGCCGCTGGCATGCAAATGACCTATTGCAGTGCAAACTGCTCAAGACTTACATAGCTTCCCACTCCGCCCCGGCCACAACAACCATGGAGAAAGCAAGAAGCAAACTATCAGAGATATCAGCTGAGAACAAATTTGCCACAACACTCTCCATTGACGAAGCCGCGACAAAAAGGCTACCAAATGATCATGCATAGGTCATAGGGCCAACATGTATGGTCTGTTGTCCCCACCTTGGCTGCTGTCGCAAAGCGTGGGTCGTTTGGCCCGGTGAATCCCAGCATCTTCGCTGCTTCCCAATTCAGCACCTGGGAAGAGGGGGCAGTGTTGAACTACCTTACTGTCAAATCTATCAGATCACTGCTATCACCAAACCAAGGCCCTCGAAGATCTCAGTCAGACGAATTGCATTTGAGAGATTAGCACTCTCAGAATTCCAAGAAATACCCCGTGAGAAAGAGGTTGTTGCAGAAACCCCTTTCGAAAGCTTTGAGAACTTGTGCCCCAGCGTCGGATCTCCTCTGGAATGTGAAAGTTGAACAAGCTGGACTGTACCCTAGTTCAGCTTTCTCATCATCTTACAGCATACTTGCAGCTTCTGCAAGTCTCCCTCTAATTGCGGTGGGTTGGCTGCCAAGCCGCTGTGTGCGCAGCGCTGCTGTCTACAAGGCCGACAAATGCTGCACTCTCGTCCGTGGCCTTCGCGGCTCAAGAGTCACATCAGTGCCCTCAAGTGCAGCACGAAGCAATCACAGAAACAGTCACATCGGCCTCTTCACTGACAGGTCTGCCCTTTACTGCCAATCCGAGATTGCCCATAGGCAATTCGATGCCAGGAAGGTGCTTCACACCGCTGTAGAAGCCTGTTCCACCACTGCAACAGGTTGATCTTCAGCCTTTTGACTTCCCAGCCTTGAGAGGCAGCATCGCCGGGCATGTACAAGTCCGCGCGGGCGCCATAACGGTCCACATCCTGATCCCGACAACACGACCAATCCAAGCTCACGTGCTGGACCAAAAGTAAAAGTAAAAGATCCCGAAAAAAGTAATAAAAGGCAGAATAAAAGGCCGGGAGAAAGCGTAGTTTCTCTCTGCTTTTGCTCCTAAAAAAATTCAAAAATTATATAATTGTTTTGCACAGTGCTACAGTGTGTAGCACTTTCAGAGAAAGTGCAAATGACCCGCAGTAGACTGAGGAGCCATCCACGTCGTATTTGTTGAAGAACGGCTGACCTGAAGACTGAAATATCAGAGAGGAGGATTTGTGTCTCCATTCAGCATCATGTCCCAAATGCCTTTTTGCAGTGATCCGTTTCTTTGCTGCGTGCTGGCGCATGGCATCACACTCTCACAATGCCATGCTTGCCTACAGACCTCCAAATTCGGATCTGCAGGACTAAACTACCTAGATTGTTGAGATGTACATGTACTTATTTCTAAATATATATATATATATGTGTGTGTGTGTGTTTATTTCCCGAAAGCATTGCGAAGGGTTCTTCCGGAAAATCCTTTGAACACTGACACTTCGACACTTACACTTCGACACTCACACTGACACACTTACACTTCGACACTCACACTGACACACACACACAGTGGAAGAGCGAAAGCATCCAAGTGCGAAGTATGCCAGGGCGAAAGCATCCAAGTGCGAAGTATTGCGAGGGTCAAAGTATGCAAGTGTGAGTATGCAAGCATGCAATGACTATGCAAGGGCAAGTGTGAGTATGGTAAATATGGAAAACTAGCACGGGAGATGTCCTAATGAAAAAACATTTCCCCGCTTTATAAATTCTCTCTTGAAGGCGGAGTGTGGGACGAACAGCGTCAACCGAAAGTGCAACCCTCTGCAGAGATCGTGCGTGTGGAGCGCGCGAAATGCAGGCGAGAGTGCGATTTGTCCGGTCCGCGCGCAACCCTCTGCGGAGATCGTGCGTGTCGAGTGCGCGAAATACAGGCGAGAGTGCGATTTGTCCGGTGCGCGCGCAACCCTCTGCGGAGATGGTGCGTGTCGAGTGCGCGAAATGCAGGCGAGAGTGCGATTTGCCAGCTGCGCGCGCAACCCTCTGCGGAGATCGTGCGTGTCGAGTGCGCGAAATGCAGGCGAGAGTGCGATTTGTCCGGTCCGCGCGCAACCCTCTGCGGAGATCGCGCGTGTCGAGTGCGCGAAATGCACGCGAGAGTGCGATTTGCCGGCTGCCCGCGCAAGCCTCTGCGGAGATCGTGCGTGTCGAGTGCGCGAAATGCAGGCGAGAGTGTGATTTGCCGGCTGCCCGCGCAACCCTCTGCGGAGATCGTGCGTGTCGAGAGCGCGAAACACAGGCGAGAGTGCGATTCGGTATGCAACTCTAGTACGCAGAGTAGCTGGGGAGCTGGAAGCGGAGAACTGGCGACGTGGTAGTGCGAGAGTAGTGCGCGGAGTAGCTGGGGAGCGGGAAGATGAGAACTGGCGAGTGGGTAGTACAACTGGAGGGCGTGGCGTATCTGGGGAGCTGGAAGATGAGCACTGGCGACTTGGTAGTACAACGGTAGTACGCGGAGCTGCTGGGGAGCTGGAAGCTGAGAACTGGTGACTTTGTAGTACAACTTTAGTACGCGGAGCAATCTGTGGAGCTGGAAGCTGAGAACTGGCGACTGCGTAGTACAACTTTAGTACGCGGAGTAGCTGAGAACTGGCGATGTTGTAGTACAACGTTAGTAGTGCGCGGAGTAGCGGGGGAGCTGGAAGATGACAAACTAGTGGCGACTGGGTAGTACAATTGTAGTACGCAGAGTAGCTGGGGAGTGGGAAGATGAGAACTGGTGAGTGGGTAGTAGCTGAGAACTGGCGACTGTGTAGTACAACCTTAGTATGCGGAGTAGGTGGGGAGCTGGAAGATGAGAACTGGCGACCTGGTAGTACAACTTTAGTACGCAGAGTAGCTGGGGACTGGGAAGATGAGAACTGGCGACTGGGTAGTACAACTTTAGTATGGAGAGTAGCTGGGAAATGGGAAGAGGAGAACTGGCGAGTGGGTAGTAGCTGCGAACTGGCGAGGGTGTAGTATATAACTGTAGTGCGCGGAGTAGCTGGGGAGCTGGAAGATGAGAACTGGCGACTTGGTAGTACAACTAACACGTGCCTTTGACAACAGGCAGTGGAAGCCAGCTTGCTGGCTGACAACAGGCAGTGGAAGCCAGCTTGCTGGCTGCCATTGTCCAGATGGAAAGCCAGCACGTTGGCTGCCATCATAGTTGAAGTGGGTAAGCCAGCACGCTGGCTGCCATTGTCCAGATGGCAAAGCCAGCACGCTGGCTGCCATCATAGTTGAAGTGGGTAAGCCAGCACGCTGGCTGCCATTGTCCCCTTACCAGCAGCCCAGATGCTCACGACGATGAGCTGGGCTGTCACCGCTTGGCCGCTGGTGGGGGGTTTGGGAGGCCGCGTCGCACACAGACACCCACACACTCCCTCAACTTCCACGAACACACACATACGCAGACTCGTTTCCACACGGACATAGACACACGCACAGAAACCCACACACTACCTCAACTCACTCGACTTAACACTTCTCACTACACACTTACCGGATAACTCGCACTCTGATCTCCTACGTGATGAAAAATGCTTTCGGGCCACTCGTCGTCTAGTTTTTGTTCCATATATAGTTATAGTTTTGCATAATTACGCTATATCCGCCGACCCCGGCCGAAGTAAGGGGGAGCGCGTAAGGGAACCTGGCTTGCTTCCGCTGTGGCGGAATCGGCCGTCTCTGGGGCTTTGGGGCCGTGAGAACGAAGTGGATTTCTTTCTTTCGAGTGGGTTTGGGGTCGTGAGAACGAAGTGGGTTTCTTTCTTTGGAGTTCTTAGTTTCTAGAGGTTTTCTTTTGTTTATGGCGCTTTCGGAGGCTGGAGTGCGTGAAAAAGACGTGGTTTTCGTGAAAAAGATGTGGTTTTCTCTGTTTCTTGAGGGTGTCAGACCCGGCGTTAGTTGCGCTCTGGCGGAATCAACCTTGTCTGGCGCTCTCGGAGGCTGGAGTGCGTGAAGAAGACGTGAAAAAGACGTGGTTTTCTCTGTTTCTTGAGGGTTTCAGACGCGGCGTTAGTTGCGCTGTGGCGGAATCGGCCTTGTCTGGCGCTCTTGGAGGGTGGAATGCGTGTTTCTCGAGGGTTTCAGACCTGCCGTTAGTTGCAGCGGAATCGGCCTTGTCGGGCGCTCGAGCTTGAGGGTTTCAGACCCGCCGTTAGTTGCGCTGTGGCGCAATCGGCCTTGTCGGGCGCTCTCGGAGGGTGGAATGCGTGAAAAAGACGTGGTTTTCTCTGTTTCTTGAGGGTTTCAGACCTGCCGTTAGTTGCGTTGTGGCGGAATCGGCCTTGTCGGGCGCTCTCGGAGGGTTGAATGCGTGAAAAAGGCGTGAAAAAGACGTGGTTTTCTCTGTTTCTTGAGGGTTTCAGACCCGCCGTTAGTTGCGCTGTGGCGGAATCGGCCTTGTCGGGCTCTCGGAGTCTCGGAGGGTGGAATGCGTGAAAAGACGTGAAAAAGACGTGGTTTCTCTGTTTCTTGAGGGTTCCAGACCCGCCGTTAGTTACGCTGTGGCGGAATCGGCCGTAGTTGCGCTGTGGCGGAATCGGCCTGGTCTGGCGCTCTCGGAGGGTTGAATGCGTTAAAAAGACGTGGTTTTCTCTGTTTCTTGAGGGTTTCAGACCCGCCGTTAGTTGCGCTGTGGCGGAATCGGCTTTGTCTGGCGCTCTCGGAGGGTGGAATGCATGAAAAAGACGTGGTTTTCTCTGTTTCTTGAGGGTTTCAAACCCGCCGGTAGTTGCGCTGTGGTGGAATCGGCCTGGTCTGGCGCTCTCGGAGGGTTGAATGCGTGAAAAAGACGTGGTTTTCTCTATTTCTTGAGGGTTTCAGACCCGCCGTTAGTTCCGTTGTGGCGGAATCGGCCTTGTCGGGCGCTCTCGAGGGTGGAATGCGTGAAAAGACGTGAAAAAGATTCTCTGTTTCTTGAGGGTTTCACACCTGCCGTTAGTTGCGCTGTGGCGGAATCGGCCTTCATACCCCCCAACCATATCCTCAGAAACTCTATCCAACAAACACGCATATATGTGACCCTTTTCTTCTCCTTTCTTCATACCATTCCCTCCCCGTCACCTCTTCACCACCTCGACGCTTCTTCAGAGCTATAACCCGAGCCTTCAAAGACCATTAAAAGAACGGTTGAGCGGGTGGTGTAGTGCAAAATCCCTTAGTAAAACAATGGTTCTTCGGTAAAGACCATTAAAACAATGGTTGTTTGAATCCTAGGGTATAATTCAGCCGAGTCTTCTGCCTTTCTCCAAAACCTTTCCGTCCCTCCCGGTCCGGCCTCTATTCTCTTGTGTACCTCATGCCACCACCGACGTAGGCGGCCACAATTCTAAATATTCCAACGCTGTGCAGAGGCACTCACATCTTTTTCCCTTGGGCTCCTATTCCTCCTTCCCGCGAAACATAGACACTAATGCAACTCTCTTGCTCACGCATCTCCCCGGGGTCGGTGGCAGGGGCGGCAGCCCTTAAATATTAATATGACATATGTAGATTGTTCTTCTCAACTCTCAACAACTACTTTCCAGAAATGCATGTAGGTAGCTGCCCATATCACAAATAAACTCAGAGCTTGGCCAAGAATGCCATGAACTTCAATCCCAAGTTGTTCAGCCAGCATGGCCTCTAGATGTGTTACCAATTTGACTCCACATGCTCTGGTAAGGATTTTAAAGCCCGCCTTTACTTAATCAAGTAGGCGTCTACGTATTTAAGTGATGAGATAAGCCACTAGCAATAGGAATAGGAAGCTCCCTAGGACGCAGGATAGCTCACGCTCTAATGATTTGGTTCATGCGGACACACGTTCTCGGCCTCTCGTTCACATATCGCAGGCACTATGTCGTACTGTTCAGAGACTGTGTGGAGATTGTTTGGAGATGGGTTTCAGGATCTGTTTAAGCTTGTTGGGGCTCTACGAACTTTGGGTGGGTGACTGCCTTTGGATTTGTCAGGGTAGATAGATACACCACAACTCAGATTAGCCCAGCAAACATGTATTCTGGCCTGTGGAAAGTCCATGATCGAACAGTCTGTGATGTCTTCAATCTTGGTACCTGAGCACAATTATGGCCGGCTCAAGCGGGGTACTCTATCCCATGCCTGATTCCAGAAACTGCACATTCTTCAGGTCAACGTTGTTTTGTGCCTGAAAACTGAGTGCATCTAACGCCTCTGCGCGCGCATGTCTTGAGCTGTGAAATAAGATTATTGACTATATACTGTAATGGTTGCATGTTTCCCAAACCGGGGTGGGCCTCTGCTTGTGACAACCAGCCTCCCTTGAACTCACCGCCTTGGGCCACTTGGGACAAGGCATCGGTTTTTCAAATGCAGGATGGCTTTAAGATGAATGGAACTGCCAAACGGAATAGCTGTTGCAAAAGGTGAACCTGTGCATCTACCTTCTAGATATACATCTGTGATTCGAGATATACAAAAATTGTTTGATGCCCTGTTCTTTCTCGTTTCAACACATCTCCAGTGTCTCCACTTGCATCAGGAATCCGGCCCTCAATGTCCACCAAGGCCCTCCTGCATCACGGATAAGTGAAACATATGCCAAATCCAAAACAGCAAAAGTCACAGCTGGCCACCACACCCTCTGGAGGTCAAGGCATTGCACGGAAAGCCATTGCCCAGCATGAAGGTCAATGGTTGCAACCTGAGCCAAAGAGCAAGTGGGCCACCAGGTTCTATTGTGTGGATGTTTTCTGTGTTTCTTGTTCTTTAGAACTTTAGACATTGGTGTTCTCTTTTATAGAGATCTTTAGACTTGCTTTGATTTCTTGCTTCAGACCTGTAGGCATGTTCATTTTACCTTCTCCTTAGAACTGTAGATTTTTTGTTTTCACGCAGCAAGTGCGCCACCAAATTTTATTATGTCCAGCATCGGGAGATGTGGCATAGCTCAGCATCGCTTCTAGGATTCAGTCTTGAGAGAGTTGAGACTATTCTGAGAGGTGTCAGAACAGTGGTCACTGGGATGATGGTGAGCATGATCACATTGCAAGAGCCCCAGCAAACCACTATTTTGGCCACAATCATCTGTGGACTACACAAAGTGAGAGGAGACCCTGGTGTCCTGGCTTAAAGGGCAAGTAGATCAGCTCCTCGAATTAGTTGGGGAGGAAAGTAGCAAAAATGGATCAACTTCTGATGGTCGAGCATTCTAGAATGTCATTGCAAATTTGCTAGACACTCTTGGTCAATGCAGAAGTTTGATGACCAAGCTTGATGCCAAATTTGTTGCATCAATATGTTAGAATTATCAACTCCTTAGAATTATCAAGGCCCATCAAATTGATTGGGCATGTGATTCGAGCATTTCATTTGGACCCATGATGTCAAATCTCTGTGGAAGAGTAGATGACAGGAGAAAATTTGGTTGTCGCTGGCTGCATTAAAGTTAAAAGGATATTATAAGATTAAGGTTTCATGAAAACATACACTAAGAGTACTTGGGCCACACTGAATCTGTTTCTGAATATCAACTAATCTACAATTCAGCAATGAGTAGAGAGACACATAGTTTTCTAGACATCTTGACGTTTTTCATGGAAGGGTGCTGTCGAGAGAAAGACAGAAGAAATCAGGCAGAGGGGAGTAGAGGGTCAGCAACTTCTCTGATCTGTGCGATCTGAACGCAAGAAAATTTGCGTAGCTGTTCTCAAGTGAAGTTGAAAGGAGTATACTGACTGTGTTTGTTTTGTGTGTGTGCATTAAAGCTATTATGTATCTCAGAATGAAAAACTCTATAAGCTTGGCTCTGCTTTCAACCAAGACAGAAAAGATCAGAAAAGCAAAAATTGCAGCACGTCGATGTAGTGAGAGTTCACACGAATTTTGTCTGTTCTATGTCAGCTCTGTGCACTGCCTGACTGTCTGAGGCAAGTTCGTCTTGTCTGCAACAAGGCGTACAAATTCAAAGCCAGCGCCCAGCAACTCATCAGGCAACCTAGAGAACAACTCTGCACTCATGGATTTCTATTCCTTGAACAATTCGATTTCCACCCGATTCCACAAATCATATCTCCAAAGCCGTCGGCCTCATTGTCTCTACCTGTCAAGTGCTCGCACAACGTAACGTCGGATGACACCGATGGACACAAACACTCGAAAATAACTTGGGTAAAATCATTTGGGTGCTTCCGTTTACCAAGTCCTTCGTTTCAGAGCCTTGGTGAATCCAATTGCTTCTGCTGCTGGGATTGGGACTACTTCGACCTGCGACCCAGAACATGCACAAAACGCAGCAAGAACGCAAGTCACGCGAACCCAAGCACCTCCGGCTCGGCTTGGGCAAGGCTTGCCTCTTTGCTCTTCTTCTCCGCAGGTGCATCTTTGCTAGGAGCATTCGATGCTTTTGGCTCTGGTGGTGTGGGCACCTTTTCAGATGGACCTGTCGGTGCAGTAGTTGATGGTTCTGAGGCCGGTGCTTGGGCTGACGGTGACTTTTCCTTGGAAGGTTCTGCAGGAAGTGGTTGTGCTGAAGGCAACTTTCCCGTGGATGCTTGTGCTGGGGGTGGTTGTGCTGAAGGCAGCTTCACCTTGGAAGCTTTTTTTGCTGGGGGTGGCTGTGCTGAAGGCAACTTCACCTTCGAAGATTGTGCAGGAAGTGGCTGCGCTGAAGGCAACTTCACCTTGGAGCAGAAGACTGTATGAAATTGCAGCAAGTAGGAAGTGAATGCACTCAATGTAGTAATTTTTTGCGCGCCTCAATCGGTTCAACAATAGGTTTTCCAAGCCATCTGCCGGCAATGCCCTGCACGATCATGTTCGGTTTTTCACCGTGTACTCAAGGTTGTGCAATTGGTTGGTCCAACATGTTTGAGACCCCGCCGCAACAGCCTGTGGCAGCGTGGTTTCTAGTCAGCACTCCTATGACCTTGCTGAATCACAAGGATTGATAAACCTGACGCTTCTTCATTTGCTGTTTGCGTGCCCAAGAAATCATTCTTACATAGAGACGAGTGTCAATGTGACCCAGCTATTGTAAATTGTAGACGTCCAAACTTGTCTACACATCTCGATGCAAAGCTTTCGGATCTGACAAAGTTCAAAGGTAGAGATGAGCAAGGCATGCCCGGAAATGAGGCACAAAAACTGGACTCCTGAAGGGTGCATCAGCTGGGTGGCAAGGTTGGTCGCCAAGGTATTCAAAAACAACTGTTCCCATCTTCGCAAGGTTGGAGAACGAAAGGTGGGCCAGGGCTGTTGGAGTGGCAGTAGAAGAATCTGGTCGAAGGATTCGTCCTGAAGAAATTCATCTTTTCGGAGGTGATCAAAGCTGGCGTGCGGGGAAGGCCCTCGAAAATGCGCAACAAAACATGCAGCAGTCGAAGCCATTGGCACCATTTCTAAGCACGAAAGAAGCAAACTGTCCCAAGTAGCTGCGAACGCAGGAGTGGTGCGAACGCTAGCCGTCTCCAGACATACTTGGCTCCGCCGAAGGGAAAGAGAGGCAAAGGATGGCGGGAAAGGGTGTGACAGGATATCTTCTGGGCGCAGTCAGAGGCGAAGAGAAGATGAGAAGGGGGTACAAGAAAGCTCGATAACGTGGAAAAGGGAATGACACTAAAAAATGTGGTCACTAGGAACAAGAAGCTACCAGGAGCAAAGGGCATCGCACTAGGAGCAAGCGCTACTAGGGGCTGCTGGCCTTACTACTAGGAACAAGAACGCTACTAATTACTAGTATCATGCTCTTCACGACTCACTTTCGGTGTCGGAAGGGGTAGCAGAAGTCTCAAGGGTGGTGGCGTGGCTGACTCCATGCAGCTCATCATGCCGCGCATGAAAGACAGCAAATTACCGTATCATAACATACCGTTTCTAAATGGTTGGACCTTGCTGATGCAAGGGATACCACCACAATTACGACTTGCATTTTCTGCATCACCACCTCCCCAAAAAACATTCTTTCGCTGACACCCAAAACATTGATTTCAGGACCTTTTGCATCGGGACCCAACAGATTCTGCACGGTAGAAGAATGTACCAATCCACATCATCGATTTCCAGCCTGGTCAAAAATCCATCCTCCCTTCACTTTGAGGTAGCCTCTCCAAGTCGAGTCAAAAAAGAGCAAATACCATCAAATACCTATTGGCTGCCAGCCTGGGCTATCAGGGCTTTCAGGTTGAATCGCCTAGCACGACAGAGTCGTTGATAGCGCATACTTCCTCGCAGTGTTTTGGGTGTCCGATTGCTTTCGGGGCGCCCCATATGCGATGATGCATTTGATAAGAGCTGTCCGATCATCGATCTACTTTAATCTAGTGTTCGACGAGCAAACCATGATGGACCAGCCCAAGGGATAGCCATTTTGAATTGAAGGTGTTGATACCAAGAGCGGGAGTGGGAGTGCCAGGACTGCCAAGACCAGGGTGGCCCTGAATGGCATCGACCTGCAGGACACCGCTTTACGAGTTCTTCAGCAAGATTTTCGAATTCATGCTTTGGCTTTGGCTATGGACACCTGCCACAAACGCGAACATTTGAAGCAAGCTCTTTCTTAAGCCTCTCGGTTACAGCTTAGACTTTTCTCGAGCCGCGTGAACTGTTTGTTGCATGAAAGATTTTATTGGAGCGAAGTTCCTGGCTCTTGCCATGAGTCCTGGGGGTTTGCAAGTCTTTATGGCTGAGCTTACTTGAGAACAAATCGCGCACAAACCCAAATCCAAAGCAACAGGAACGCATTTCAAAGTGTCAGAGCAACAAAGCCACATCAAAGTGACACAAACAGCACATGCGCGTTGCCGAAGCGATTGTCGCAGTAAACCCGATATCCAAAACACAATACAATGTTTGCTCTATGCCTCAGTAAGCTGTTGATCTCAAGCACTCTATATATATATAATATATATAGTTTGGAAAAATAAATACCTGCTTGGAAAAAAAACAGCCTCGGAAGCTTCGAACTCTTCTCCAGCTATGATGCTCGCTCCTGCAAACAATCCTGCTGATGCGCGTCAGTCCCATTATCTTGGTAAGTGTCCTGTTGGCTCAGACGCCACATCTGGCTCCTGAACAAAGCACAAAGTGATTTGGCCACATCCAGCTCTTCACCCCTCTAAGTTGATCTGCAGTCCTTGCGAAGGCGGATTTTTGTCAGAGAGCGGTACCTCCAATGTATAGCACAGTCGGCAAAGCATGGCAGAGTGTTGGAAAGTGTTGCAGACTTGCATGAAATAAAGTAAGGGATATTGATGAAATATCTTGAAGATCCTACGCTTGAGACTTAATCATCTTGCCACCTCAGCCTGAGGGCAGCACTTTCCAGGGCCCAGCGCAGATAAAGCTGCAGGGGAGAACAAAAAATGCGAAAAACATGTTGCACTTTTTCGGGAACAAACTAGCTAAAGTAGAAAAGACAAAGAAATATAACTCATCCCTGGCTGCCGCACCTGCGGTTACTCTAATTGACCTCAGAAGGCACTCCACAACTGCGTTGGTTCAAGCACAGGAGCAATGCCAGCACTGCTAGTTGCTTGAGCTTTGCACCTTTGGCCTTGCATGTGGGATTGCAACCATGCAGTGCAGCATGCAGTGCAAAGATGACAACAGGTTATACAGGCTGCGTAGGATTCATCGGTTGACGCTCACAACAGGCACGTTGTTCACATGCCATGCATGCATGCATGCTCACTTGATGCAGCTTGGTCAATGATGTCAGCTTCAGGCCTTGAAACCCAAAGGCTCGAGCTCCTTGAGCTCCAATCAAATAGATGACCTGGTCAGCAACTTGTCAGGATTCAAAGCTTTGACGCTATGTCCTGCTCGTAAGGCATTGGCTCCAATCAATGCCAAATGGGCGAGCAACTTGGCATGCAAACCGCACGAAAGAGAAAAGTCTGCTTGTATAAATGCCATCTGAGACTGTCACCTTCTTGCGATGCTTTGCGCAAGGAGCCTGATTGCTTAAACGTGGTCTTGGTTAAACGGCTCTGCAATCTAAACACATTGCTTTCAGTGGTGGAAATCTTTACCAATTTCGGTGTGTGCAAGAAAGCAACTCTCCCAGGTTCTGCCGGATGCAAGCGGCTTGTCATGGCTTCATGAATCATGTTAGCTGTGTTAAAACCAACATCAATTTAAACCTACAGGAAGCATCGCTGGCCTTGACGTGGCCTGAATTTTGCTGCTCTCACATCGAGAATTAGATCTCAACTGAACAAAAATCCAACCCAACACGTCCAACATTAGATTCGCAACTTCGGGTTGCAGTCTGATCATGTTCCCTGCTTGATCGAACCCACGCATTACATGCAGCTGCACATCTACATCACTTGCATCTTCTTTTCTTTTCAATGGACAAACTCTCTTGTAAAGGCTACAAGCAAGTGTTGGTGAAGATGACATGCAAAGACCCTAGGTTGAGGCTCAAGACTGCCGCAGCTATGTGAGCGATTCAATCAATCATGCTGTGAATCATGGCTACCCTGTTCCCGAGCAGAAAGAATTGTTGAAAGTTGGAAGACACCAACCATCAAGTTGATGCACCACGGTTGAAAGACGCAAGTTGCCACCTCTGATACCAAACCATCCTTTTGACTGCGACTCCTCAGAAGCGCTTGAATTGCGTCTCTCCAACTGGTCGCCCTCGCCTTGGGCGGAGGAGCCAGCTGGAATCTCGAACGTTAACTCCACAACACCATCAATCCTGCATCGCAGCATATCGCGGCACAAATTGCAAACCCCCACCACAGTTGAAAGCTATAGCTACTATAGCTATCTGTTGCAGTTGCTCCGCAGGCGAAGGGACACATGAAGCTGATAATATGGTTGGAGACAAATAAAGGAGGCCAACAAATTACAAACCTCTTCTCTTCTCACTTGCAGAAACAAAGCTCTAAAGCGGCCATCAAATAAGCTTCCCAAGTGAAGCAGGTCACCATCGGTCCTTGATCGCTCCCCTGTCAAGCACTGATAGCCAGAACCTCGCCTGCGATGTTTAATGGAAAGCATTTATAGTAAAGTTTCAAGGTCACGTCTCAGCTAAATGGAAGCCTGTTATTGTCCAATACCCAATCTGTGGATGCTCCAGGAACTTCATCAGCCTGGCAAACATGTCACCAAAAGGACGTGATGTCTTGGACTGCCTTCTATGTCATAAGTTGGCCATGCTTATCACCACTATCAAACTGTTGACTCAAAGCTTGCCCCAGTACCAGCAAACCCAAACACTAAGGCCCTGCATTCTTGAACACTGGTTCTCAATCATGCACATTGAAAGGGAAGAATCAGAGTGAATTGGCACTCCACACTTTGGCCATCGAGCCTCTTTCTGGTCACCATCTTTAGAACTTGTAGCCTCCTGGACATGTCCGTCGTGGGTTGACAAAGGAGGACACACTCTCACACAAGATTAAATGTCTGTCTCCCCTGGGCACAGTGAAAAAGCACAGCACGTATTTTCCCGGCAAGAGACGGAGGACTCCAAATTGCTTGCACCAGACATGGCCTGTAGAAAGAAAGGATGGACGTGAAGGAGTGACAGTGTGGATGTGCAGGTGTCATACAGATGTATAGATGTATGGAGGTGGAGAGGTAGATCTGTGGATGCGAGCGTGCGAAGATGTAAATGGACAGAGGCGGGAGAAAAGATATGTCTTAGGTTCGTAAGAAGTCAGTCGCACTTCAAACGGCTCAAAACAAGTCAGTCTCATTTCAAGACAAAAACGAAGTAAGCCGTAAGCAGGTCGAAGCGCACACAAAATGGATTTGTGTGCGCTTCAACCTGGTCCCCAAAACAAGCGGCGAGCAGATATCCTGCGAGCAGAGGCTCAAAGCAAATCAGTCTGACTTTAAGTATCAGACACACAGAAAGTACGCAGTAAGTGCTTCAAGTCATCAGCTACACTTTTGCGGACAGGCCCTTCAAACCACCAACACTGCGACCTGAGAGCAAACGACATTACGATCAGGACAAGTGCCTCGTGCGTTCCAACTGCGCATCGTTTGTCATGCAGGTGAAGTAGATACATATCAACGTCACGACCCTTTTTGCGGCAGCCGCGGATCCCGTCGTTTAAGCGATGATGGCGTAGTTTCGTCCCGAACAGTCTCGGCGGACGACCCGCGACACGAATTAGTCTCGGTGTGTTGCGCTGAAGTCTCTCTGCCATTCCGCGCGCAAACCTTCCAGGCGCCACAACGCTTCCAAGACATAGGGTCGGTTGCGCCAAGGACGCAACGCTGGTCCTTTTTGAAGCAGCAACTGCACGGCTTCCAATGCGGAGTGCTCGTAAGCAACAACGAGCCAAGCGCGTAAAATCCCCGCGCTCCGGTTGATGCCACCAAAGCAGTGAAAGAGCACGTGCATGGATTTGTCCCCGGCGACCGCCAGCATGGACTGTTCCCACAACTGGTCGCAGACGATTTTCCACTGTCGCAAACAGGAAGAATCTGCTCAAGCCAACGCCTTGCCGGCTTCAATGTCGTGTCCCCCGAGTGACACTGGACGCGAAAGACATCTTGTTGTTGAAAGTATTTGGTCCAGTCGGTCGGTGCGCCTGCGATCTTCATCTCCTGCGCGCACATGGTGACCACCACAGTGACCTTCAAAGACGTGGTCTCCACAATGTCTTCCAAGCTACACGCAGCTTTCAAACTTCCAAGCAACAGAGCTGCTCGATCCGTAGGCCTGTAAATGACAGCAGCATCCAAAGGCCACGCTTCTATGGACTTAAAGCTGTAGTCGTGTTGGTCTGTGACATAATCCAAATTCTGTATGGCCTTGCAGCACTGACTCCAAGGAAGGCTCCAACCACAACGGCGACGTCATCGCGTCGCTCGACGCAGCTCCAGGCTCAAACTCTTCAATTGCTCCACAGAACACCGTGAAAGAACCCCTCAAACATGCGAGACAGGTGATTTTCGAGCAATTCCGAGTAAGCCGATAGTTCAAATGACGTCCCAGAGCCATGACCTCTGGATGCAATTTAAACTATTCAGAGAAAAGATGTGTACGAAGAAAGAAGGAGAGGGCGGATGTGAAGGAGTGACTATGTGGACGCGCAGGTGTGATATAGCTTCGCCGATGTGTGGGTGTGTGGGGGTAGAGAGGTAGATTCCTACGAGACTTCCTCCAAAGGTGAAGCGCCAAGACTCCAAAACGCGCGTTGCGTACGAGACTTCCTCCAAAAGTGGAGCGCGACCAATCCAAAACGCACTCTCACCTGTATTTCCCGCGCTCGACACGCACGATCTCCGCAGAGGGTTGCCCCGGACGGGGCCAAAACGCACTCTCGCCTGCACTTCGCGCCCTCGACACGCACGATCTCCGCAGAGGGTTGCCCCGGACCGCAGAGGGTTGCCCCGGACCGGGTCAAGTCGCACTCTCGCCTGCACTTCGCGCACTCGACACGCGCGATCCCCGCAGAGGGTTGTCCCGCGACCGGGACAAGTCGCACTCTCGCCTGCACTTCGCGTCCCTCGACATGCACGATCTCCGCAGAGGGTTGCGCCGGACAAGTCCAAATCGCAGTCTCGCCTGCATTTCGCGCACTCGACACGCACGATCTCCGCGCCCGCGACAAACCCAAATCGCACTCTCGCCTGCACTTCGCGCACTCGACATGCACGATCTCCGCGCCCGCGACAAACCCAATCGCACTTCTTGGGAGGCCTGCAGTTATCTATGTCCATTTTTCAGAGGCCAGAAAGCTGGCTATATCCGCTTCTGGGAGGCCTGCAGTTATCTATGTCCACTTCTTAGGCCAGAGAGCTGTCTATATCCGCTTCTGGGAGGCCTGCAGTTATCTATGTCCACTTCTTAGAGGCCAGTGAGCTGGCGATATCCGCTTCTGGGACTTCTTAGAGGCAGCTGGCGATAGCCTGCGGTTATCTATGTCCACTTCTTAGGGGCCAGTGAGCTGGCTATTTCCGCTTCTGGGAGGCCTCCGGTTATCTATGTCCACTTCTTAGAGGCCAGTGAGCTGGCTATATCCGCTTCTGGGAGGCCTGCAATTATCTATGTCCATTTTTCAGGGTCCAGAGAGCCGGCTATGGGCTTGTGGGAGGCCTGCAGTTATCTATGTCCACTTCTTAGAGCCTGCAGTTATCTATGTCCATTTTTCAGGGGCCAGAAAGCTGCCTATATCCGCTTCTGGGAGGCCTGCAGTTATCTATGTCCACTCTCGCCTGCATTTCGCGCACTCGACATGCACGATTCTCCGCAGAGGGTTGCGCCGGACCGGGACAAATCGCACTCTCGCCTGCATTTCGCGCGCTCGACACGCACGATCTCCGCAGAGGGTTGCGACGGACAGGGGCAAATCGCACTCTCGCCTGCATTTCGTGCGCTCGACACGCACGATCTCCGCAGAGGGTTGCGTTTCGTGGTGCTCCGGCGGCACTGCCCCCGGCCTTAAGAGAGAAAGTTAAGAAGAGCGAGAGGTGAAGATGTGAGCTGTAGATGTGAGGATGTGAAGATGAGCAGAGATGTAGATGTGTGAAGATGAAGATGAGCGGACACGTAGATGCGAGGATGTGAAGATGAGCAGAGATGTAGATATGCCAAGATGAAGATGAGCGGAGATGTAGATGCGAGGATGTCAAGATGAGCAGAGATGTAGATGCGCAGATGTGAACATGAGCAGAGATATAGGTGAGAATGTGATTGTGCAGAGGTGAAGATGTGAAGATGTAGAGGAGGTGTAGTTCTGCAGAGGTTTTTTTTACGAAGAACCCTTCGCAGGCGCTCTCGAGAAAAAATGTGTGCACCTTCAGGCAAATGGGGAAACTATATAACTTTGTATCGCCAGGATCAATCGCCGGTCGCCCGTTGGGAGCACGTTGTTCAGAACCCAGCTGGCACAAGACAGCAAAAATTGCAGAACAGTGCCCAAAGCCACTCCTGCTTTCTTTTTGCCATGGGACTTGTATCATCGCAGCTGGTTGTTGAGGAGTCCTGAATCTGTAATCAGCAGTAGCTGCGTTCCAGCAACGTCAAGCATGTGTCCTCGTCCTCATCAACGATATTTTGAGCATCTGGTTGCTCACCAGAACTTGCTGCAGAAGTCTCCTCCCAAGAAGTTATAGCCTCCAACATAATAGCAATGGCCTCCAACCTAATAGCGATG